GTCATTAAAAAACTAAAATTGTGTCGGCCTTGAAGTGGGTTTTAGGACTATAAAGGCAAAGATACATGGCCCTTGATCTGAGAGGAAGGGCTTACAAGTAAAGGTCTCTTCATGTAAACAAGTTTAAAAAAAAAAAGTCTTAATGGGTACAGAGTAGCACAAAGATGAGATGAAAGAGTAAAATGATTAGGAACAATTTCATGCACAAACGCGCCAACATTTCTAGAGAAAAGAAGGAACATTGAACAGTTTGAGCAGCCAGCATCATGAATTAGAGTGTGGTGAGTTTCTCTGGTTATAATTACTGTTCTAACAATTCATCCCAAATTGCAGCCAATTCCAAAGAGATGAGCTTTTTATTCATCAACATAAATCAAACAGTTGCTGGATTAGCATATAGCAGTTTATCTATAGAATAGATAAGGCACTGCTGATGGCCAAGTCCCAGTCCATCTCATTCATTTTGCCACAAGCTTTTGCTTACACCCTCTAAGTCTTACAAACAGAAAAAAATCATCTACAATTTTAGTGGCTGTAGACGGAAACAGAAAGAGGCTTTGCCATCTTTCTTTCTTAAATTCTAAATGACTAAAAGAAAAAAAAAAAGAATTGATGTCTCTGACCAAGCATCTGTCCTGGCACCAATCTATGGTCAAACTCTAGAGCTTAATAGACAAATTCTTGGACACATGGGTTTGCTTGTCTCCAGAGAGCATCCTGGCAATTTTGCTTTTCATGATATTGTGTGTGTGTGTGTGTGTGTGTGTGTGTGTGTGTGTTTTCAAATCACAGAAAGCATTGAGAGCTAAAGAATATGAATGCTTCGTGATGAAAATTGGGAGACTAGAGAATCTCTGTCGAGCTTTACAAGAAGAGAGAAATGAACTCTACAAAAAAATTAGGGAAGCGAAAATGTCTGAAAAGGATGGCCAAGGTCAGAACACCTCCGACGAAGAGCCAGAGTCAACTGTCTCTGTGGGTGAAGAGACTAACACAGAGGATGCCAACAGCATTCACGACGCTGTAAAAAGTCTGGCCACAGCGTTTATGGTAATTCATCACCAAGAATCGCCCCTACACCAGTCTATAGAATTCCAACCAGAAGTCAGCAGTCCTGGAGCGGGCAGTGATACGGCCCTCAAGGAGCGGAAACAATTGCCTCTGATCCCTTCATGCCATTCAGAGGGTCCCCTGCCTACCCTAGCTCCTCAGGCTGAGGTTCAAGGAGGCAGTGAGGCGGAACCTCCCCCCAAGGGCAGTAATCGCCCTGTGAGGTCGGGAGCAGAGCCCGAAGACCAGGGTCTCCCTGCTGGAGCACAGGCTGATCAGCAGCGCCAGAAGCCAGAGGCAGAAGGTTCCAGTCAGGTGCCACAGGTCCCAGTCGAGACCTCCCTACCGGCTGTGGAGGTAAATGGTCCTACTTCACTACCCCCCTCAGGTGAGCAAGTTCCAGCTGGGGTGCCTGGATGTGAGCCCAATATGCAGCCTCCACCTCCGGCCGCAGCACAGGACACCAGTCTGGAGCCAGCAGACTAAGCCTCACTTCGCCTTCGGAGGCCGCTCTTACTGACTTCACATCTTTGTCGTAACAGATTGCTTCTGAAAGAGGCATTATCGGCTAGGGATGTCTAATGGAAGAGAATTAATTAGAACACTTTTTAAATGTTGTGCAGAGCACATTTGGACTTTGCTATTTGTTCTCAATTTATAACTGAGCTTTAATTTGGAGCTTTTCTATATAACACTAGTTGGTAGTATAATTTTCCCAAATGCCAACGAAAGATATGCGTAGAAAATTTATATTAATTTGCCATTAAGATGGTACTTAATTCAATTTGTTAATCAACAGTGAGATTTGGTATTTACAGACTTCCACTACAATATATAAGTACTGAAAGTGCGATGTATTTATTTCTATATATAGTTTAATAAGTTCCATAATAAGTAATGGATGTCTAAGTTTCATTTAAACATTATAAACATAATATATGCATATACTACATATATAGATATATGTATTTATACATATTCATATAATATATGCATATAATACATATGTGTATATATGTACATATGTGTATACATACACATGTATATATTTGTGAATATGTGTGTGCTTATGCACATATATACACATATGTATATCATATATACATATTTATATACATTTCTCTCATCCTTTTTTGAATTTCATGCAAAATATTTAGATGCTAATCAAAAATATTATCTCTTACTTGCACTTGGGACTATAGTAGACTATACTACTCTATGAATCAGAAGTAGGTTCAGAACACCAATATTTAGGCCATGTAATATTAGGCAAAAATAAGTAACCCAATGGTAGCTCAATAAATTCAACCAATTGATCGAGTAACAGAATAGCATTTGGGTTAGATTGCAAGTCTGTGCAGAGTGCGCTGACACAAAGATGACCACAGGAGGCCCGAAACAGGAAAGGGGAACACTCGCAGCTGTAAATTGCTCACTTTTTCCAGCTACTTTTTCTACACAACTCAGCCCATTGCCTTGCAACCCAGCTTACTCATGGCTTCCTACAAGGAAAGAGTTGGAAGTGGGAAGAGAAGCCAAGGCATGGAGAGATTGGGGGTCCTCAGACTGAAAAGAGGCTGTGTTCATACCCTGCCTCTTGTGCTACAGAGGTCTCGAGACAGAATTTTTACTTGTCCCTGCCAGCTCCTCAGTTCCCTCCCTGTCATTTACTGCTCTCTTACTGTCACTGCCTCAGTCTATATTCTCAAAATATCTGCTCCTTCTTTCCAACCTCCTCTTTTGCAGCAGGAAATTATATCCAGCCTTCATCTCAATTATTGCTAAGTAAAAGCTATTATTTTTCCAAAACAGAAATCCAGACAGGATCTCAGTATAAGTGATGAGACTTACAAACCAACATATTTTTCTGCTGTGAGGAATTCTCTACAGCCGAAATACAAATCAAAAAGACAAATGGGTCCCTACTCAGAATGACTTGAAAACTAGGTGAGGATTCAGAAGGCAAAAGCCAGAAGCACCTGGAGTCATCTACATGAGTATTACATTATCATTGTTTGACAAAGAGCTCTACTAATACTGACAGTATAAATTACTCTACCTAGGGTAAAAGAGACGGCAACAAAGAAATAGGAAAGAAGGGAGGGAGCAGGAGGAGGGAAAGAAAGAGAAAGATCTTACTCAGCCCTACCTTAAAAGTTGAACTCGAGTAGAAAAATGGATAAAAGCAAGATTCTCTGCTACTCAAGCAGGAAGTCACACTTCAGTGTCGCACGTGGCCATCTGCCAAGGCACACAAAGAGCTTGTAGGCAGCAGCCATATGCTACGGGCATTGTAAACGGCATACAGTTTGTTTGAAGTAGACAGTAAGGGTAATAACAAAATGCTAGTAAGGAGGAAAAAAGCATATCGCTATTTCAGAACCCATGTATTCCTAAAGGCTTAAAATATTATAACCACAAGGTATCCAGCCAAATTCAACATTACTTGAAATCTTAGAGATTTAAACATTCATTTAATTCAGAGCCAAATATTCACCATAACAATCCAAGAGGGTCTCCTTTTCCACTATTTACAGAGGCTAAACTTCCAAGAATGGAGTATGATTAGATACTCATAGTAAAGACTCAGTCTGAAAATTTAGCAAGAGAAACAGGCAAGAGAGAGCCAAAATCCAGTAAATCAAATATTCTAATACCCAAAGTTCATTTTTTCATCCAAAAAGTTTTCATAGCAACACATTACTCACTATATGTCTTGGGCAGAGTTTCAGATACATTAACTTGCCTGAAATTTGCAAAGCTTAATATAGGCTTTGGGAGAATTATTTTAACAAAGAATGTTTTATTATAGACCTTTGTGTTAGAATTTGGCCTTACTAACTGTAATAATAATTCATAAGACCTGAAAGAATAAGGTCTTTACCAAGTTCATATAACGATTTCTAGAAATGCCAAGTCTACTTTCCAGAAACACTAGAGTTGTTGGTATTGTCTAGATGAAATAAGTATAATTTATGTTTCCATTAAAAAGATACTTTTCTTCCGAAATGCTCTAGCAATGGTTTTATTTATTTATTTTCATTTATATTTATGTTTACTCTTGTTACTTCTATGTTTCAATGATACCTAACAAAGATTATGGTTTCATTCTATTATTGGTTGAATTTTTGGTCTCTGAGTAGAATATAATGGAGTGAACACTGCAAAAATCTTGGATGTGTATGCGTGTGTGCGTGTGTGCGTGTGTGCGTGTGTGTGTGTGTGTGTGTGTGTTTATTGAGAGAAAGAGAAAAAGAAGGAAAAGGGAATGGAGAGAGAGAAAGAACATGAATGCTCCAGGCTAACAAGAGCAAACCCAGGCTCCTCTGCTCCTCTGCCTGGCCATCAGCTGCTGGCAGACAGTTATCACATGGCCAATGTTTCTCTTCAGTGCCAGTCTCCCATGAGATTTATGTTTCCACAAGTTTCTCTGCCATGTGTCCACTCAGAAATACTCTGAGCGGTAGTGGGGGGAGGGTGTAGAACAATCAGCTCATTTTGCCACTCTCCAGTCCTTTTAACTGCTGCAAGAATTTTCTCTAGCAAGACCCAAAGAGGCCCAGCAATTCTGCCTTTTGCTTATTCTCTCCGCCCAGGCCATATTGATCTCTGAAGGGCTTCTTGAACATGGCATTTCCTCATATGCTTGAAGAGGATTGTTTAGCTAGAATGGAAACAAGATTTCGACCCCTGCCCTTAAGGCTGTTTTTGCTGCTTTTTGCCTGGTACAGATACACATTTTTTAAATAGCTCTTTTTTTTTTTTTGAGATAATAAAGGTATTATGTGTCATTGCAAAACTTAGCCTGCTTTTCAATGACTAAGATATTGTTAGAAAATTCATTTCAGGAAAATTCTCTCAGCCCCTCCAACTCTAACTAGTAGCTAAATCCAGTATTTAGGAAAAAAATAAAAGTAATTTAAAACAAAGGATTCACAAAAAGAAGATATGAAATAAAAATGATGACTTTGGTCTCTAAAATTTGTTCCCATCATAAACTGGCAAGTTGGACTTAGGAAGCAAGTTGGATACATGGGTTAAATTTTCACAAGGTTTAAATCATTTCCTTTTCTGTACTTTAGAACCTGAAAAATTAAAGTTATGATAATATATTCATTTAATACATATATTAGATCAACCATGAGGACAGTCCATTAGAATAGGAGCATTCATAAATAAATGGCAGTAATAAAGATTTTTCTCGACCACGGTAAATTGTATCCTCAATGCCTGAAGTTAAGTCTCATTGGTGGTATCTTGTAATATAGATTCTACGAGTACTAGTTGTTATTGTATGTGTGTGACTATACACACATGTGCACACAAGCACACAAACACACATGTATAAAATTTGACCTAGATTTAATTATGCTCTTGTAGGTGAGTCTTCATACCTGTATCTTCAAAGCGTACTTAGTATGATCTTTCCAGACAAGAACAAACTATAAAAAGGAATCATTTCTTGTGTGAATAAAAATGGCAACATTAAACTAGCAAAATGAACCTACAAATTCATTGATCCATCGCACAAAAATTATTCACAGAAGCAATTTCGCTCTACTAGGAAGTAAGAAACTAGATAAACCACTTCAACAATACAATCAAGCTTGGCTAAATTCAGGTGCCACGTCTTTCTTCCTGCTGTATTTTAGAGCCTTAGCTCTCTATTAACACCAAAGTCAATCCCATTTTATTTCTAAATTTTTAAAAAAGTGATATATATCATAACTTTCAATTATCTCATATCATAATTAAAATGTACATAAGTATAAAACTCATTGTTTCAGAACGGACAGTCAATTGATGATATGTTAGGTCAAATAACACAAAACCACCATAGAACCAAGCAAGAAGACGTTATGTTGAGAGGAAAAGGAGAGAAAAAAAAAAGACTTTTAATCTAACAACTATTATATAAAAGAAAAATTTTATTAAATAAAATTTGAAGACTATTAAGAACAATAAAAAGAAGAGGCACATAAATTTGTAGGCCCTATTGTGAAAGCAGGATGGCAATAGAAAGTAAGAACTGTAATGAAATTAATACACTTCACACCATAACTTCAACCTGCAGAATTTTTACAAACATGTTTCTCGGCATTGTTTGCCTTTCAATTAAAATAATAAATTTTTTTTTTCAGTATGAAAATAATAAAACTACATTATGGAACATTTAGAAAAGAGAAAAAAAATTACCCATAATCCCATCACTCCAATTTAACCACTGTCAGCATTAACTATATCATAGTATATTTTAAATTATCAACCCTTTTTATTTAACATGAGTTAATTTGTCTTTGGGGGAGGACACAGTAGTTCAAGTGAGAGTAATAGCTATTAATAGCTACCAGATTTGAAGGTTTATACTGTGTATTCAAATTTTAAACACTTTATCATACAAACATGGAATTATATTATTTATAGAATAAACATGACTGCAAATACAAGTACACAGCATTTTCATGTGTTGTTTGAAAAAATTATGC